CCTTCTTTATGGTCCAGCTCTCACAACCATACGTGACCACTGGGAAGACCATGGCCTCGATTATATAAACCTTTGTTGGTAGAGTAATGTCTCTGCTTTTCAACACACTGTCTAGGTTTGTCATTGTTTTCCTGCCAAGAAGCAACCGTCTTCTGATTTCACAGCTGCAGTCGCCACCTGCAGTGATCTTGGAGCCCAAGAAGAGGAAATCGGTCACCACTTCCACCTTTCCCCTTCTATGTGTCAGGCAGCAATGGGGCCGGATGCCATGATCTTACTTTTATTTTTTTTAATGTTTAGCTTTAAGCCAGCTCTTTCACTGTCCTCCCTCACCCTCATCAAGACACTCTTTAGTTCCTCTTTGCTTTCTGCCATTAGAGTGGTATCATCCATATATCTGAGGTTGTTGTTGTTTCCCCCGCCTATCTTGATTCCAGATTGTAACTCATCCAGCCCTGCATTTCTCATGATGTGCTCAGCATATAGGTTAAACAAACAGGGTGACAGCAGACAGCCCTGTCGTACTCCTTTCTCGACCTTAAACCAATCAGTTGTTCCATACAGGCTTCTAACTGTTGCTTTTTGACCCGCACACAGGTTTCTCAAGGGACAGGTAAGATGGTCTGGTATTCCCATCTCTCTAAGAGCTTTCCAAAATACATGGACTGGGTTAAAAGTCCACAGACTTGATTGTACATGTCTAGCTCCTATTTCCTATTTTTTTAAATTCTTTCCCACATATATATTCCTAGAAAGTCTTCAATCACACAAACCACATAAGCATCCATAATACCAATCATACTCAACTCAATGGGAAAATTCTCATTTCCTATGTCACTTCAAATGCCTCTATACCTTTAAAAAAAAAAAAAGACAGTTTTAAAAAGTATTGGTTCATGTCTGGAAAAGTTCAGCTAATAGAAGACACATTTAAAGGATCTGTGAGGCTTTCTTGATGATTTTAATATTTTAACAGAAAATATAGACCATTTAACAGGCATCATTTCCTTATATAGAATTTTTTAAAAAATTAAATTTATGAGGCCCTAAAGTCAAATTAATACAACTTCAAAGATATAAATATAAAATATTTTAACAGTTAGACTCATTATTGGAATAAAATACAATTTTTTTCTTTTCAGAAATTTAGAAGAATGTCTTTTCCCTGAAAGTAAATGTAGTTTTTCCTGTGTCAGCAAAATTCTACCATTATAAGTGCTACTTTTCTCAATTATTTGGAATGAATATATTTTCAATCATTTAAAACCATTTAAGCAATTGCCTTGAGGAACTGTGAATTACTTCATTAGAATGCCTGTGTGATACTAATAAAAATAGACATATTTTATTTTAAATGAATTATGTATCAAGCCACTATGGGCCAACTATCATGTTGTAAATATTTTATTATTTGATGCTCAGGTACAGAATAAGTTAAACATGCCTGAATATGCACTGCTTATGCACTTAAAGCACCACTCCTTACAATATTTTCAGCACTGCAATGTAAGGTAAAGAATTTGAAATCAAGTGCACAGTTTGTTAGCAGCTTCTTGAGCTAATGATCGGTTAGCCAGGAATATACATCTGTTTCACTCCAAAGTATCTGGCTTTTCATTGGACTATAGTGAATTCTCCCAGCGTAATTGTTGTTATTCTTCAAACCAGTTCTTAAAAATGAAATCATAATTTTATATTATAGAAAATACACCTATTACAATAATTCAAAAGATCATCTTGTTTAATACTAGGTTTTGTATTTCCTTGTGGAAAACAGGATGTTATTTATTATATTTTCTTTCTTTGAAAATTAATGTTATTTTAAATTTAACCCAATCTAGTTCATTCTATCCATAATGTATTTGAACCCTGCATGATCTAATAATGCAAAGATATTACACTAATCCAGCTAACTACATCTTCTAATGGACTAACAAAGCTTAACTTGATGGCTGGGCTTAACTCATCAAGGAGGAATTCATAGTTTTACTAATGGATTAGTTGTCATTAAACAATGCATACTTGAATTTTAAACATTCTATTGTGGTAAAAAAGGAAAATGTTTGTCTTGATTATAATGATTATGGAGATGCTGATTTATGAATCTTATAAATCTAGAAGTTGTAATTCTGTGAATATTTTTAAAACACAATTTGAAGTATGAATTGTTTCCTAGAAACAAACACATGCTTCCTGTATCAAGTAGCCATATTTTTAGCTGTTGAGCTTTTTTTTCTCTGCCCAGAGAATTTCATTGACATTAATTATATAATAATAAAAACATCAATATTCAATGAATGAGAATTTTTCAACATATACTTTTACCCTAACAAAGAAAATTTCCTTATGTAATTATTAAAATACATTCATGAAAAAATATTCTTTTTTTTTCAAGCTATACTTTTTTATTTGAGCAGATTTTATGATTGAGCAGATTTTAAAAAGCTTCATAACAACTTCTTATATTGTTTTGGTAAAATGCTTCAAATCCTCTTAAAATGATAAAGTTTTTTTTTTAATTTTTTTCCATTTATTTTTATTAGATGGAGGCTAATTACAATATTGTTGTGGTTTTTGCCATACACTGACATGAATCAGCCATGGATTTACATGTGTTCCCCATCCTGAACCCCCTCCCACCTCCCTCCCAATCCCATCCCTCTGGGTCATCCCAGTGCTAAAGAAACAAACATTGTCAACATTCTTGTTTCAATATTCTTGTTGCAGGCACTGTGTTAGGTACTAGAGACCTAAGTCAAAACTTGGTTTGTAGATTATAAGAAAGAACACTGAAGTCTAATGAAAATTAGTAAGAATGTCCCCACCCCCTAAATATATGTCAGTTCAAAGAGATTTCTGAACTATAAATTTTTTCATCGATCTAGAAGTAGGAAAAGACTAATGGGGTCTTTAACACAACTTTTTCCAAATGTGTTCCATGGAACACTATTGCAGAAGACAGTAGTTTCACGAAATAAATGAATGCTTCTTATGGTCAAACAATCATGGTGCAAAATCAATGGTGGAGAAAACTGCTGGTGGTTTAGCATGAATCAAGGGAGTGGGTGCGTGTGAAGTAAAATGTCTGTTTGTAAAATGTCTGTTTGAAGAAAACCTCTTGTGGAGTTGTTTGAGTGGTAGCTGAACTAGCTGAGCTTTTTCATTATTTTTGCATATCAGAATAATTGCAAGGATTAGAAAACTGATAGATATGTTGCAATGGAGTTGTAAGAATCTGGTTTCTATAAAAGTAAAGATATCATACAAAAACAATAACTTATGTAGTTGTATCGGATTGGGAGACCAAGGAAAGGATAAGAGACAAAAGAGAAGCAGAAAAATTTTACAGATTAGAAAGGTGATAATGGAAACCACCCCAATCCACACACACACACACACACACAAAAGATATGGTAGAAGCTACACCATCAATGTCAAACAAGGTTAAGTTTCAAGTGGAAACAATGGAATTAAGTGTTTAAAAAAACAGTAGAATTTGCTTAATGCATGTCTCATGACTTGAATATTATAGAATCTTCTAAATGACTTATTATAGAAAACAAAATTCAATTTAGAGTATTATACAGTACACTGTAAAGGTTAAATCTTTAATCAAAAGCCACATGAAAAATTACTATTGTGTAATAACTCATACATATTCTTGTTATAAAATGTTATAAAAGGCCTCATATTTGGTGATTCTAAAAACAAATTATTTGTTGAGCTTAAGATTATAAATTAGCAAATTACTTGGGCATTCTAAAAAAATAAAATAAAATAATAAAACTATGCACTTACCATCATGATTAGGATTTCCTAGTGTCCATGGCTCATCTGAGTCAAAATGAGTATCTCCCCCAATTCCTGGTCCAGGGAAATAGGCGTGTGCCAAAAACCCTCCCTCTCCATCAAAAGGAGAACTGTCTCCATGAAAGCCAGATGCAAAAATGATGGTTATATCCACATCACGTTTGCCATTTTCTAATTCACTGTAGGGAACTTCCTCAAATGTCAGAGGAGTGACATTCTGCCACACGTCAAAGGCACGACGAATAGCTTTACGGGTTTCAGGGTCTCCCACTTTTGGAGTTACGTTCTTTATACTGAAATTTAGAAAAAAAACGATAATCAGTATGACTTTATTATCTATAACCTGACCTATTACACATTGACTTTTTACATATTTTCATCACTTCAGCTGAGAAAAGAAATTAGAAAATGTCTCTTAGTAAGTAGGAAAGAAACTAATTCTTTCTCTCCCTATAGCTAAATTTCACTATGCTGGGTCATTAAATTCTCAGCAGTATAGTAATCATCTACCAAGGCTATAAGAGATCTTTTCTGCAGAATGGTTAACACTGGGGTAGTTAGATCAATCATCACTTTGTCTCCTGAACAATAATAGAAAAGTGGCTTTGCCAAATGATCAAACAGGTACAGCAGTTTTAAGCTGAAATAAAAAATTCAATTTATGTATGGTAATAATTACTTTTAGGGGCACACATTTTGTACACACGTTACTTCCAAACAATGTCTTTATGCTCATATCATGAATAATTCAGTGAACACAAAGTTATTTCTGTTTTTAAATAAAAGGTCAGTTAACTACAGTTTCTGATGTCAACTCTTCTCTTATATATTTAATTATTCATAGTCAAAGCCATGTGAGTGAATAGCTCTTTAATACAAATATTTAACAGTTATATGAATTTAAAGAGGTAACTTGGACACTAACTTATTTTTCTTGAGGCTAATAACATATGGGAAAAATTATAAATTTTTTTTACTATTTAGCACTGATCAGATATTTCTCTTTTATCACTTATTTTACTGTTTTCTAAATAGAACATAAACTAAACAAATATATATGTACATACTTAAGTATTTTATATTGTGGTAGTATAAGTTCATACATCTTTGCAAAAAGTAAAGAGTAAATTTCACACGGGTTATAAATAAGTTTCAGACCATTTCAACCAATAATTTTATACTGATGAATCCATGAGTTTCACTAAGGGAATATCTTAATGCATAGTGAAAGTGAAAGTGAAGTCGCTCGGTCGTGTCCGACTCTTTGCGACCCCATGGACTGTAGCCCACCAGGCTCCTCCGTCCATGGGATTCTCCAGGCAAGAATACTGGAGTGGGTTGCCATTTCCTTCTCTAGGGGATCTTCCCGACCCAGGGATCGAACCCAGGTCTCCCACATTGCGGGCAGACGCTTTAACCTCTGAGCCACCAGGGAAGCCCGTAGGAGGGTATAATATTCTGGTGAATATTATTATTTTTTATTGTATGGAGGACAAATGATATAAAAATTATGATATCTCTATTACATGCCATAATATATACAGGATTTGAAATTTTAAATAGCAAAAATGACTTTGCTATTTTCAACTATTTAACTATATGGAAAAATATTCAGGATAATTTCTGGTGGAAAAATAATATGCAGATTGTATTTTAACTCATCTGTAACTATATCAAGATAATTACAAACATTAGGCAGGAAATTAAGCATTTACAAAAAACATTTAATTGAGCATTTACTGTGAGCCAGGTGAGTATCTCACACCTATCATAGAAACAAAGGATCTGAGACTTAGATGAATTTAGAGAAAATTCAGAATGGTAGAGCTAGTTTTTTAACACAAATATCATGACTCAAGAATCAATTATATTAAACTCTAGACTACACAAATCAAGGTTTACACTATTTTCTAATCCATATTATAGACCAGACTTATTTATATAATGAATATTTTATGATAAATATCATCTATTATATACAAGGAAAATAAGGGGGCAAACCAAGTGAAATTATCTATTTTTATTGGAGTATAGTCAAGTTACAATGTTCTATCAGCTGCAAGTGAACAGCAATGTGAATCAGTTACACAGATACATACGTTCATGCTTTTTTAGGGTCTTTTCCCATATAGCCAGACACAGAGTACTGAAAAAAGTTCCCTATGATACACAGTGAGTTCTCAGTCATCTGTTGTATATATAATAGAATGTATATCTCAGTCCCTATCTCCCTATTTACCCTCTGCCACTTAATCCCTAGTTGGTTTTCTACATCAGTGATTGTACTTCTGTATTGTAAATAAGTTCATTTTTACCTTTTTTTTTTTTTTTAGATTTTACACATAAGAAATATCATATGATATTTGTCTTTGTCTGTCTGACTTATTTCACTCAGTATGACAAAGTTTAGGTCCATCCATTTTGCTGCCAATGGCATTCTTTTGTTCTTTTTATAGCTAAGTAATATTCCATTGTATATATGTATCACTTCTTCTTTATACATTTCTCTGTTGATAGACACTGAGCTGAGCTTGTTTCCATGTCTTGACTATTGTAAACAGAGCTACAATGAGCACAGGGGTGCATAGATCTTTTTGAATTGTGGTTTTTCTCAGGGTATATGCCTAGGAATGGGATTGCTAGGTCACATGTTAGTTCCATTTTTACTTTTTAAAGAACCATCATATTATCCTCTGATGCTAAATTCCGATGCTGTAAAGAACAATAGTGTATAAGAACCTTGAATGTTAGGTCTATGAATCAAGGTAAATTGGAAGTTGTCAAACAGGAAATGGTTAAGAGTGAACATTAACATTTTAGGAATTGATGAACTAAAATGGAGTGGAATGGGTGAATTTGACTCAGATGACCATTATATCTACTACTGTGGGCAGGAATCCCTTAGAAGAAATGGAGTAGCTATCATAGTCAACAAAAGACTCTGAAATTCAGTACTTGGATGCAAACTCAAAAATGACAGAATGATCTCTGTTTGTTTCCAAGGCAAACCATTCAATATCATGGTAATCCAAGTCTATGCCCCAATCAGTAATGCTGAAGAAACTGAAGTTGAATGGGTCTATGAAGATCTACGATACCTTCTAGAACTAACACCCCAAAAAGATGTCCTTTTCAGTATAGGGGACCGGAATGCAAAAGTAGGAAGTCAAGAGATACATGGAGTAACAGGCAAATTTGGCTTTGGAGTACAAAATGAAGCAGGGCAAAAGCTAATAGAGTTTTGCCAAGAGAATGCACAGGTCATAGGAAACACCCTCTTCCAAGAACACAAGAGAAGACTCTACACATGGACATCACCAGATGGTCAACACCGAATTCAGATTGATTACATTCTTTGCGGCCAAAGATGGAGAAGCTCTGTACCGTCAGCAAAAACAAGATTAGGAGCTGACTGTGGTTCACATCATGAACTCCTTATTGCCAAATTCAGACTTAAATTGAAGAAAGTAGGGAAAACCACTAGACTATT